CCCCCTGGTTCCCACATATGCTGGTTGGGTGCTGCGGTCCCTGCCTCGCCTCGGCATTTGCCAGTGGGTGCTGTAGCCTGGCCTGGCCCAGCCCACCCCCAATTCCAGTTCATGCTGTTGAGGGTTACAGCCTAGGCCAACCCATCTGGCCCTCAGACCTGGCCCTCATGTGAACTGCCTTGTGTTGTGGCTTGACCCAGCCTGACCCACACTCCATTCTGGCGCTTAGATTCATCAGCGAGTGATATGAACTGGCCCAGTTTGGTTTGCCCCCAACCTGGGCCAAATGTATGCCAGTGGGTACCATTACCTGACCTGGTCGGGGCTGCTCCTAATCATGGTTCTTGCGCTTACCTGCAGGGACTGTGTTCCAACAGAAGCGTTTCCCCAAGCTCCTCCATCAGAACCTCTCCTAATGCCAGATCTTGCGCCCACCGGTCGGTCCATGGGCCAGCCCTACTAAGTCCAACTCCTGTTCTAGCAGGAATAATGAGCTTTCCTAATTGGCCTTTACCCATTCCAGTTTTTACTGTTGGGTGTTACAGTCTAGCCAAGCCTCTCCACACCCAGACACAGCTCACACCAGGCTCAGCAGGGAAACACACCTGCCCATCCTACACCTACCCTGGTTCGCGAGCACCAGCGTGTGCTGGAGTCTGGCCCAGCCTGGTGCACATCAGATCCAGTCCACTCTTGTGCTAAGGAACACTGCAACCATGTCCAGACCAGACAGTAGCCCCCGCTCTGGCCCTCACACTCACCAGTGGGAGCCACAACCCAGCCAGGGCATCCCCTTAGTTCTCCAACCAGGCCTGTTTCCAGCCACAGATCTTGTGCATGCCAGTGGTTGCTCTGACCCAGCTTGGCATAGCCCCTCCCTGTCTTGGCCTTTGCCTTAGATACTGTACCCTGGTCTGACCCAGCCTGTCCCCAGTCCCAACTCTCACTGGCGGGTGCTGGAACCTGGCCCTGCACAATCTGCTCCCATCCCTGGCTCATGCAAACTGATAGGTGTGACAGCCTAGGCTGGTATGACCTGCACTCCAGCCTGGTTTCTGCACTTGCCACTGAGCTAAGGTTTACTCAGCCTTGCCCGGTCTACCCACTCCCAAAGCCAACTCACACACTTGCCAATGGATAGAGCCCGCTTGCCTAGCCTGCCCGACCCCCAGGCCTGGAGCACATGCTCACCAGCAATAGCTATGACCCCAGAAGGGAGTTTCCCAAGTCCCCCACTTGGCCCACTTTCAGACCCAGATCTCAGTCATGCCAGCACTTGGTAGGCCCTTGCCTGGCATAGCATCCTTTCATCTTGGCCTTTCTGTGGGCTGGTGAATGTTGCAGCCCGCCCCACACACCGTTTTAGGATGCACATGCAGGTGCCGCAGCCTGGACCTGCCCAGACTATTCTTGGATCCAGTACCCATGAGCGTTGGCAAGTTCCATGGTCATACCTAGCTCAGCCCATCACCACCCCAACTCTTTTCTTTTTTAAAAAAATTTATTTATTTTTATTGCAAAGTTAGATATACAAAGAAGAGGAGAGACAGAGAGGAAGATCTTCCATCTGATGGTTTAATTCCCAAGTGACCACAACGGCCAGTGCTGCACCAATCTGAAGCCAGGAACCAGAAACTTCTTCCAGTTCTCCCACACGGGTGTAGGGTCCCAAGGCTTTGGGCCGTCCTCAACTGGTTTTCCAGGCCACAAGCATGGAGCTGGATGGGAAGTGGAGCTGCCAGGATTAGAACAGGCACCCATATGGGATCTTGGAGCGTTCTAGGTGAGGACTTTAGCCGCTAGGCCACTGTGTAGGGTCCACCACACCAACTCTCGAGCTAACCAGCAGGACTTGTATTTTCACAGGGTTGAGCCCACACATCTCCCACAGAATCTACCCTTGGGCCTTGGAAACCCCACAGATTCTACCTTTGGGTTCTCTCACATCCTGGTTGGTGTCATGGCCCTGCCTGATGTGACCTGCCCCTGTTCCGACACTCAGTCAGGTACTGGGATCTAACCCTGCTAGACAGGCCCCCAGCCCTAGCTTTTGTGGGCGGTGGCATGTGGCACTCAACGATATTTCGCACTGACAAACCCATCTGAGGACTCCCACTTGGGCTGGGGCATCAGTCTGGGCATACCTTGCCTTCCCTGCATATGTTTAAAAAGTTAGAATAGGTAAGTATCCTGGCACACTGGTATAGGTAACACAAATGTGGCATGAATGAGGCTGCTGGCTGCTTTTCTCCCTGCATTGTGACACTTGGCTTGGTACAAGGCAACCTAGGAGTTGCCTGCATCTGGGATTACATTTCCTTTCAAATTAATTGCTGTTTCCCCACAGGAGTGTTATTATTTCCTCTGCTTACCACCCTCCAGTTCCTTCTCCCCCTCCAGGCTGGCAGTCGTCATCCTCTGTATTGTCACTTGAGATGGGCACCCCAGTCAGTGTGAAGTGGTATTGCAGTGGGGCATTGATAGGCATTTCTGCAATGCCAGTGGTTTTCCTATGACAGGTGTCCATTGGTATATCTTCTTTGGACATGCATCTATTTGAGTTCTTTGCCCTTTGATAACCAGGTTGTATTGTTGTTGAGTTGCATTTGCCTTTAACCAGCTCTTCCCCCTTGTCCCATGGTCCGCCATTCATTGTGTCAGCTGGGTCTGTGGGGGCCCAAGGTCAGGTGTTGATCAGCCGTACACGAACCCCACCTCGAGGGTTCCCTTGCAGCCTGGACATCAGGTTCACGTTCAAAGTTTTCGTTGGCTTCCCGAGGCACAGGCCCTCCAGGCAGTGCCGTCCCCACTGAGTCCCTCCTGAAGGAACACAGGTCCTCGGGACTTTCAGGAAGAAGGCACCCCGGCAAGGACTCTCGGAGGAGTTTTCCAGAAATTCTTCTCTCCCGAGCACAAGTGATGGACATGCTGGTACGAGTGGGCGCAAGATCATCAGGAAATGAAAGCCTCCAAGAGCCACAGTGCCCAGAAATGGGAGGGCCACAAGGCCAAGACCGTGAGGCCCCCACACTGCAGGGGGCTGCCCAGTTCTCAAAGACCTGTCACCTGCTCCCACCCTTCCCCGTGCAGGCACATCAAACACATACGTGACACCTTCCCCTACTGTCCCCAGGCACTCCGAGTCGCTGGCTCTGGAACCGAAACAGCTTGTAAAATGTGAAGCTGGAACTTGCTGCAATAGCTAACAATGGCTAACCCTCCACCTCCAAGCATCAGGATCCCATGTGGGCACCAGTTCATATCCCGGCTGCTCCAGTTCCCATCCAGTTCCTTGCTTATGGAGGGCGGCCCAAAGCCTTGGGACCCTGCACCCACGTGGGACACTCAGAAGAAGTTCCTGGTTCCTGGTTTTGGATCAGGCTCAGCTCCAGTTGCTGCGCTGATCCAAAGCTAGGAGCCAGGAACTTCTTCCAGGTCTCCCATGTGGGTACAGGGTCCCAAGGCTTTGGGCTGTCCTCCACTGGTTTTCCAAGCCACAAGCAGTTGAGCTGGATGGGAAGTGGAGCTGCCGGGATTACAACTGGCACCCATATGGGATCCCAGGGCATTCAAGGTGAGGACTTTAGTCGCTAGGCCACTGCATCAGGCCCAACTTTTTTGTTTTTTCTTTTAAAGAAAGTGAAGCTGACACCTGCTATTGTGGCATCCCACGTGAACCCAAGCCGGAGTCTGAACTGCTCCACTTCTGATCCAGCTCCCTGCCAATGCGCCTGGGAAAGCAGTGGAGGATGGATCAAGTGCTGGGGTCCCTCCAACCATGTGGCAGACCTGGAGGAGGCTTCGGCTTTTGGTCTGGCCCAGATCTGCCCATTGTGACCATCTGGGCAATGAGCCAGAAGATGCAAGTTTTTCTTTTTCTTTCTTTCTTTCTTTTTTTTTCCAATGCCGACTATATTTCAAGTTGTCACAGCGGGGTATTGGGAAAACTTTTCAATTAGCAATAATCGCGCCTTGCATAAACCTCATTGCCTACGATACTGCCACTGCACAAAGCTAGATTGAAGTTTTTCTAACTTTGCCCTTCTAGTAAATAAATTCTCAAAAAGTTTTTTGTTTCATTTACATCTTCTGGTCAGACTATGTGAATCCCAAACACTGTGTGTGCTGTGGGGACACAGACTTGGTGAGTGCTGCAAGGAGCCTGCAGCCTCATCCCCAGATCCCTGCCCGTTGCCTGGAAAACCTTCCCTCCCCGCCCCGTCCCACCCCACAGCAGTGTCCACGCTTCGGAGGAGGACCCGGGCTGTTTGTAACGTGTCCCGCGACTCTGCACGCCACCGGGGCTTCCTCGCGCCTAAACCTAGGGCGCCTTCTGCCTTTTTCTTTTTTTCTTTTTTCGGTCACCTATGTCACCCTGGAGAGACAGGCCGTCTACACCGCTTCCCGCCACCGGGATTATCCGATCACCAGGGCTGAGTCACAGCCCTTGGATGAAGGTGATCCACGGACTCGCTTTTCACCGCCCCGAAAATGACAGGCACCGGCCATTTGGGCTTCCCGGTCAAGGTCGGCGACCCCCGGGCAGTCAGTCAGCCGGGGCCATTCAGGCCGGCGCGCGGTCCCTCCGCCTGGCCCCGCCCCGTCCGGCCTGGCTCCGCCCCGTCCGGTCCCGCCCGCTGCGCCGGGCCCCGCCCACCCATCCGCTTCCGGCCCCGCCGCACCCCGGCCGGCCTCGCCCTATCCACGCCCCGCCCTGCCTGGCCCCGCCCTACCTGGCTCCGCCCCGTCCGGCCCCGCCCGCTGCGCCGGGCCCCGCCCACCCATCCGCTTCCGGCCCCGCCGCACCCCGGCTGGCCTCGCCCTATCCACGCCCCGTCCAGCCTGGCCCCGCCCTGCCGCGCCTGGCCCCGCCTCACCCCATCTGGCCCCGCCCCACCGCACCAGGCCCCCCGGGCGGAACCGAAAGCGTCCGGAACTGCGCTCGAAGTCGCCCGCCCGGACTCTGAATGCCGGAGCTCCCGGCGTCCACGAGAACGACGCTGTTTCTCTGTGGACTTCCGGGCGCACGCTGCTCGGCCGCCGTCCGACCGGAATTCTCCGGCGTGCACGGCCTCTGAGCTGTCGGGGCGATCTGCGCTGCCGCAGCCATGGGGATCCTGGAGAAGATCTCGGAGATCGAGAAGGAGATAGCCCGGACGCAGAAGAACAAGGGTGAGGGTCCATCCCCTCGGTCGCGGGGTCTTGCGTTCCGGCCGCCGCCTCAGTTTTCCTGTCTGTAAAATGGGGGTAACAGCTCCCAACGGGACAGCAGGAGCGGAAAGCAGTGCCCGGGACTGAGTGAAGGCCGCCCAACCCCAACCTACGCTGCAGAAGTCGGGATCCTTGCTGGACCAGGTGCCCCACAAAGGGGCATGCCTGCTTGGGAGCCACAGTCCCAGGGACAGGGTCGATTCCAGTCCCTGAGCCGGCGAGGTCCCTGTTCTCCCGGGTTGTGCTGGGAAGGGGGAGCGTGCAAGGCCGGGGTGGACCCCGAGCGCCCCCACACATGTGCCATGATGCACACTCAGTGTGCCCCTTCTTAGCTGCTGGCCCAGCACCAGACACAGCGGTGAGCATTGGGCATCCCAGGTACAGGAGCAGGATGGGACTTAGAGAGAAAAGGGTGTTGGAATGAAGCATGGTGGCCCCAGGAGTATGGGGTCGGACTTGAGTGGGGGTGCTCCTGGAGGGGCCTTGCAGCAAGGGGCATTGCTTTGGCAGAGGCGTGGGGTCGAGTGAACCTGGTGCCTCCCAGGAGAGCAAGAACAGCGTGGATCGGAAGGGACGCCAGGCCAGGCCCCAGGTCAGTCGTGCAAGGCCCGGCTCACGTCTTCCCGTGGCCCCATTTGGGCTTCAAAGCTCTGCCCACGTCCCCTGCCCTGCCGGGGGCTTTGACCTGGTAGTGGCCAAGGAGGCATAGGCATGCCAGCCAGCACTGAGTGGATTCGGGTGATGGAGCAGGGTTGGGGCCCAAAGAGACCCGCTCCTCCCCTGGGCAGGGGTATCTGAGATGAGGTCTGAATGAGAAGGGGGAACCAGCCCGCTCTGGGGCTGCAGGACCAGCAGGTACTAGTAGCCTGAGTTGGGAGTAAACTGGGTGTGTGGGAGAGTCTGGAGGGGCAGAGGGGAGCAGGAGGGACGAGGGAGAAGGGATGCCAGCTGTGTCACTGCGTCCCTGCTGGGGCGCTTCAGCGGGGGAGAGAGTGCTGCTGGCTGCTGTTGGCCGGTCAGCTGGGAGGCTGAAGGAGGGGGGTGGCAGGCAGCACTGCCCCTGAGCTGGAGGTACAGCTGGCAGCCCCACCTCCCACCCTCTCACAGGATCTAGGTCCAGCCCCTGCTGGGAAACCTCACGAGGCCCACACACAGGAAGGGTAGCCGGCTGGCACGCAGCTGTGCCCCCCCGGGGCTGCTGTCAGACCTGCAGGAACCTCCAGCTGGCTGACCTGGCCTCCAGGCCCTGCAGCCCCAGGAATGGGTGCCTGAGCTGTCTGGCGCCTTTTTTCAAAGTGAAATAGCTTCCTCCCTGCGAGGAAGAGCTGGCTTTGCAGAGGCCAGGTTATAAGACACAGTTCCACGGTGCGGAGGCAGGGGAGGGGGCAGTGACAGGAAGACAGGACAGTGCTGGGTCAGGAGCACAGTGGACCAGGGCCAGGGACAGGTGGGTCGCAATAGACAGCAGCGGGGTCCTGAGGGTGCATGGTGCTCCACCCCAACCCCGGTGCCCTGCAAGTCCGCCACCAAGGGGACACACGCAGGCAGTGCAGCGCCCTAATAGTATCATACAGGAGCAGAGTGTAGCCTGTGGGCGTGGACAGGGCTGGGCTCCAGGCCCAGGTTCTCCTCTTCCAGTGTCCTCCCCTACCCCTCTTCAGGAGCAGAGAACACCCCTGGGGTGTCCTGGGGTCCTCCAGGGACCTGTGCCCCTCAGAGAACTCCACATGGGGGTGGGGTGTCAACAGGAAGTGAGTGAATGGAGAAGCCAGGATCGGCTCCACTTCCCGGCTCCCCTAGCCAGGGACGCAGCTATGCCTGCTGGCCCTGGTGTGTGGCACGCTCCCCCCTCCACTGCCCGCCCCAGGCTGGCCTTCCAGGGCTTGGGACCCCTGACCATCCCTCGCTGTCTGCCTCACCTCCCATAGCCACCGAGTACCACCTGGGCCTGCTGAAGGCGAAGCTCGCCAAATACCGGGCACAGCTCCTGGAACCCTCCAAATCGGCCTCGTCCAAAGGAGAGGGCTTCGATGTTATGAAGTCAGGGGATGCCCGCGTGGCTCTCATCGGATTCCCCTCTGTGGGTAAGGTCAGTGCAAGGCGGTGCGGCCTCGGGGCAGGGGGACAGGAGGGCGGGGTTCTCCCATCCTCCAACCACAGGGTGCTTCCTTGTCCCCCCATCCTTGTCTGCCCTTACCACCCTGCCACAGAAATCTGTGAACACAGATGGGGGCTCGCAGGCTCCTGGGGAAGCTGCGCCCACAAGTGGCTGCCTTAGCTTGCCTAGCATTGTCTGGGGACATTGCAAGTATACCCAGGTTTTTTTTTTTTTTTTCTTAATTATTTATTTGAACGAGAGAGAGAGAGAACAATCTTCCATTTGCTGGTTTGCTACCCAAATGGCCAAAACAGTTAGGACTGTGCCAGGCAAAATCAGGAGGCAGGAGCTTGTGTCTCCTGTGTGGGTGCACGGACTCAACTACTTGGACCATCCTCCACTGCTTTACCAGGCGCATTAGCAGGAAGTGGATCGGAAGTGGAGTAGCCAGGACTTGAACCAATGCCTATGTGCGATGCTGGCATTGCCCAACAGTACCAGCTCCAGTTTGCCCATTTTTAAAATGATATCTGAGAGTGACAAAGATAGAAGCTGAGAGAGAGAGAGAGAGCTGTCTGCCTGCCTTCCAGATGCCCGCAGCAGCTGAGGCTGGGCCAGGAAAGCCAGGAGCCAGAAGTCCAGCCAGATCTCCATGGCTGGCTGACTTCTGACGTGATGGCTGCGGCTGGCCTGGAGCATGATCAGATCCAGGCCAAACCCGAGGAGCCAGGGCTCCCAGGACAGGCAGAGGGAATATGAGAGAAACGGCCATTTCCTAACGCCTGCTAGCCTGGGAGGGGGCTTGCTGCTGACCTCCCCTCCAGCTATGGACGGAGGTAGTCAGAGAGGGAGGGAGTGTGTCAGAGGGAGTGTGTCAGAGGGAGTGTGTCAGAGAGAGAGGGAGTGTGTCAGAGAAGCAGAGGTGTGGCAGGGTTCTGGTGAGCCTGCTTGTTGTAGGGCCCTGCCCAGTGGTGTGCCACAGCGCTGTGTGTGAAGCTGACCCGAGCTGTGCCCAGGCTGGCTGGGGAGCCTGTCCCATGGCTTGGCCGTCCTGTCTGCCTGCCAGCCAGTTTTCTCTTCCCTTGGGCTTTTTATTTCTGGGCTGGGTACCCGATTCCCTGACCTGGCTGGCATGGGAAGGGGGGTTAGGGTGAACTGGCGGTCTTCTTGTCTAGGCTTCTGCTGACTTGGGTGGGCAGGAGGCCTGGCAGCGTCAGCCCCACCTCCCTTCACCTCCCAGTTCAGAGGGTGGTACCACCTGGCACTGTACCTTCTGGGTGTGGATTCTGTGGGTGCCAAAGGGCCAGCAAGGGGCTGTATGGGGTGAGTGTCGGGCCCTGATACTGTGGGGTAACTTCTAGAAGCGAGGCCCGTATCTGCCCACGTCAGGTGGCCAGCCTTTCCCTGGCAGGTTCAAGGCCCTGGTAGGCAGCAGTTGTTCTTGTTCACATCCCCGCCCCCTGCCCTGGGCTCCCAGGAAGCAGGCATGCTCCTCAGGCAACTACCCCTGTCCCCCCAGTCCACCTTTCTCAGCCTCATGACCTCCACAGCCAGCGAAGCCGCCTCCTACGAGTTCACCACGCTCACCTGCATCCCGGGGGTCATTGAAGTAAGTGCTGGGCTGGCCCAGGGGGCAGCAGTGTCTGCATGGGGGCATGGGTGGCCCTGCCCGGGGGCAGCAGCTCCAGAGGAGCGTGGCTGGGCCTGGGCTCCTCGCTGGTGCCGGGCATCAGGCCAGCGCCAGGCAGTCGTGTCCCCGAGCCCCACCTCCACTCTGGGGGCCTACAGTGCCCAGTCCTCCCAGCCGCCTCACCCTTCTTTTGCCTCCCAGTACAAGGGCGCCAACATCCAGCTCCTGGACCTGCCTGGGATTATCGAGGGCGCGGCACAAGGTGGGTGCTGGGGACTGCCAGAGAGGGGCAGGGCCAGCTGTCATTGAGTACTGAGGTGGCATGGCTGTGATGGGGAGTCCCTGGACCCTGGTTCTGTTGGTTCATTTTCCAGAAAGGACAAGCTATTGTTCAAATGCTGGCACCGTGCTGGCTTGGTAGTCTTGGGAGGGGGTTCAGTATTTCTAGTTGTAAAATGGGCATGATGCAGTCAAGCACGCAGCAGTCCAAAGCCAGGAACTTCTCCTGGGTCTCCCACGCAGGTGCAGGGTCTCAAGGCTTTGGGTGGTCCTCTGCTGCTTTCCCAAGCCTTAAGCAGGGTGCTCGATGGGAAATGGAGCAGCCAGGGCATCTTTGAGGACTGAGATGTGGATGAAGCGCTCAGCCTGCCCCTCAGCAGGGTCAGCACCACGTTATTTCAGTTCCAGTGGTGGTGTGGGATTTCCTCCTGCCTTGAGTTTCTGAGGACAGCAGCGCGGGAATGAAGGGAAATGCCAGGGACATGTGCAGCAGACAGCGTGCCGGGCTGGGAGTCGGAGGCGTCCCACGGGGCCTGGGTGTGAACCTCTCCTTCCGTGCAGGGAAAGGCCGCGGCCGGCAGGTGATCGCCGTGGCGCGCACGGCGGATGTTGTCATCATGATGCTAGACGCCACCAAAGGAGAGGTGCAGAGGTTCGCGGGGAGGGCCCGGGGGCCGACTCCCGAGTCCGGGAGCATGCTTGCTTGCAGTGGGTGCTTGGGCCTGGCACACACGAGCACGGTGGCGAGACCATCTGCATCTCAGTGTGGCCCAGCCTAGATGTTCAGGGCTCATGTCCAGCCCATGTGCCCAGGGCATCTTGGGATGGGGATGGAGGGAGAGAGAGGGAGAGAAGTGTGACCTGGCCCTGACTCCTGCCCACAGAGGCCCAGGTGCCCCAGCCCCCGCCCCAGTGGTGGAAGTGTGTTGGTCGCCACTGCTGGAGGCACTGCCCTAGCCCCCTCACGGGGGCCTGGGCTGCTGGGGTCAGCCTGTTAGACCCTGCTGCACCTGCTGCTGCTTGGGCGGGGCCGAGGCACAGGGGTCCCCGCCTTGGGCAGCCAGGAGCTTCCTGCAGGGCCAGCCGCTGAGCGCTCGTGGGGTTCTGCCTAGGAACCTGCTGGAGAAGGAGCTGGAGTCCGTGGGCATCCGCCTCAACAAGCACAAGCCCAACATCTACTTCAAGGTCAGCCTTGGCTCATGCCGCATAGGGGCCCGGGTCCCCCACTACTGTGCTCACACCTGCCTCAGCTACCCTCCTGGCCCGGGCCCCCCACTGCTGTGCTCACACCTGCCTCAGCTGCCCTCCTGGCCTGCTCTCTCCTCAGCCCAAGAAAGGTGGTGGCATCTCCTTCAACTCCACGGTCACGCTGACCCAGTGTTCAGAAAAGCTGGTGCAGCTCATCCTGCATGAATACAGTATCCTTCCCTTCCTGTGGGACGGGCAGAGCGGGGCGCAGTGGAGCGTGCCCCAGCTCGTGCGGGGGTGGCCCGCCCAAAGCCAGAGACCTCTGGCTGCATGCTCCAGTGGGTCCCCCGAGCTGTCCCTGAGAAAGCAACCACACTGTGGGGAAAGGTGAGGTGGCATTGGGGCCTCCTGGGTCACAAGAAACGGGTACATACTATGTGATGGGGCTCCAGACGGGCACCCCTGCTCAGCGTGGGAAATGGAACATTAGCAGGAGGTGGGACTCAACATAGGGAAGCCCCTACCCTGCACATGGGGGCACTCAGGCACCTGGCCCCCCGAGGGGGGCACATGGGTCCACTGGCACTGATATTGCCTTTATCCGAGCCCCTCAGAGATCTTCAATGCGGAAGTGCTCTTCCGAGAGGACTGCTCCCCTGATGAATTCATTGATGTGATCGTGGGCAACCGGGTGTACATGCCTTGCTTGTATGTAAGTGGCACTGCCCACCCCCATGTGTAGGCACCAGTGTGCGTCTTGGAAAGCCAGGCTGCAGGTCCCCAGCGCCCAGTGCCCTTCCTCACTGGCAGAAGGTGGGAGGTGCAGGAGGGAGGATGGCATAGGTCGTCTCGCTGTGCCTCTTTGGTCCACGAGCTGAGGGCAGGTGTGGGACCGTTGGGGCCTTCGCCCTGTCCCCTTGCAGCTCGCTCTCCCCAGTGGCCACCTCTGCCTTCCTCCATCGCAGGTGTATAACAAAATCGACCAGATCTCCATGGAAGAGGTGGACCGCCTGGCCCGCAAGCCGAACAGTGTGGTCATCAGGTGAGCTGCTGGCTCCTTTCCCTGCGTCTGTTCCTGGCAGGCAGGTGGGCAGCAGTGGGCGATTGGCCTGGGGTCCAGCTGTGCTGGAAGGGGCACCCTTGCACAGCAGGGGGCAATGTGACATGCCACTGGCCTGCCCCGGCTCTGACTTGGCGCGGCCAGGGTTAAGTGACGTGCTGGACTCTGATTAGCAAGCTAGGGACTCCTCTTTGAGTGGTGGACTCTTCCTATCCTCGCCCGTGTCCCATAGGCCCCAGCAGCGCCGGCCCTGCCACCTGTGCCCATCTCGGGATCAGCTGGCAGGTGCTGCCAATCCATTCCTTGCCACCCCCACCCCCCCACCATGCTCTGTTTCCCGTGCTCCCCTCTGCCAGCTCCCTGACTCAGGCCGGCCCTGTGCGGCCTGCCCCTGCCATGCCTGCTTTACAGGGAGGTCTGGAGGGGATGGGGGCGAGGCCCTGCCCCCAAGCAGGGGGCCTGTAGCCCAGGCGGCCTCCACAGCTCCCTCACCCTGCTAAGGCCCTGTTACACTCATGGCAGGGGTCAGTGTATCACGGGGCTGGGGGACTCTCCGGGAATAGCCGGGGCTGCCCTGAGCTTCTTGCCTCTGCTGGAACCCCTGCTGGGCTGCCCTGGGTCCCACGGAGAGTCCGTCCTCACCCCTTCACAGACTCCCCAGTCACAGACAGCTTGCATCGGCCACAGGTGCAGTGGGCCCTTCAGCTGGGCTGGCCTACAGGAAGGAGCTGTGTGGGGTGCGACCATGGTTGGTGAGCCGGCAGAGTGACAGGCCACCGCCTGCCAGCCAGGGAGCTGTTCTCTCTGGCCCGGGAGGCCGAGGGGGCCTTTGCCTGACAGGCTGCCCGCTCCTTGCAGCTGTGGGATGAAGCTCAACCTGGACTACCTGCTCGAGATGCTGTGGGAGGCCCTGGCCCTGACCTGCATCTACACCAAGAAGCGAGGACGTAAGTCAGATCGGGCGCCGGCGCCGCCAGTGGTGTGCAGCCCCACAACTCCACCAGTGCTGGGGCCAGTCATGGCTCAGCAGGTCTCCAAGCCAGGCCCTGCCCACCACCCAGCCCTTGGCTGTTCCTCTCTCTGGTGGCAAGCCCTGGTTGGGGCACACATCCTCACCTACCTCGGGCACTTGGCCTGAACCCTGACCTTGTATCTGGACTCTAGGAGCTTGCTGCCTCTGCAGGCCTCTGCAGGCCTGATGGCCCGGGGCCCCGTCCTGGTGCCTCCTCGGGCGTGGCTAAGAGCATGGCAGGTGGGGAGCCTGGGTTGAAGTCAGGGTCCTTGAAGATGGCCTCAAAGGCCATGCTGGTGCTGTGCTAAGCAGCTGCAGGCAGAATTGGTTCAATGGCTTGGAGACTTGGGATGGGGGACATGAGACCACAGGGCGGTTCCCCTGTGTGGTTAACACTGCCCCTCCCTGCAGAGAGGCCCGACTTCTCCGATGCCATCATCCTGCGGAAGGGGGCCTCCGTGGAGCACGTGGTAAGTGGGTGGGACTGGTCCCAGCAGGAGTGAGACCTTGGCCCACTGCAGTGTGGGGTGTGCCTGCCAGCACCCTGGGCAGGGCTCAGGACCACCACTGCTGCTGGCTGTCAGGAGGGTCGCACTGATCACAGCTCCGGCACTTGGGTGGCACCAGAGGACGGACAGTGACAGGTTCTACCTAGCCTGTGCCCAGTGGGCTTGGTTGTGAGTGCCTCTTGCCCTCTCAGCGTGGGCTCACTGAGCAGCTCACTGGGCAGGGAGCCGTGGGGTCCACCAGAACTGGAGGTACTGACTGGGTCAGCGCAGGACAGATGGGGTGCACGCGGGGAGGGATCAGTGTAGACAGGGGTGCCTGCCACCTGTGAGGGTTGAAGTGAGTGAGGCAGCGCCCTCTTGTGGTTCCACTGCATCTTTGGTCTTGCAGGTTTTGTGGCGCTGTCAGCTGTTTGGGAGGGTGCATGCTTGTCCCTGGCACGAATCTCCCTTCTCCCAGGCTGGGACATCCTTGGTCACCTCAGACCCCGGAGTTCGCTGGCCTCCCATTTAGACTTGGGCGGTTTGTGACTGGGCTGCAGCGTGTGGTCCCCCTGGGGCCAGTGAGAGCTGAGGGCACAGGCATACCTGCTGGCAGGCAGAGGGACATGGGGTCATCTGAGGGCAACCTTGGCTATAGCTAGGACCGTGACTCCAGGCCACAACTGGGCCTCTTGGAAAGCCATACTGTCCCCTTGGGAATAAGCCTGCCAGGGTCTTGATCAGCCTAGGTAAGCCTGGCCAGGAGCAGGGTCTGCCTAACTACTCGCTCCCGTGACCGGGAGCCACACACAGGCCCAGCCTGTGGGTGGTCCTAGTCCGGGCGCTGGGGTGTCAGCGTGCCTGCCGTGGGGCTCCTGCTGCTGTGGCCTGGGGTGCTGCTGTGGCCTGGGGCGCGGGGCTGAAGCCTCACATTCCTGTGTGACTCCCCGCAGTGCCACCGTATCCACCGGTCGCTCGCCAGCCAGTTCAAGTACGCCCTGGTGTGGGTGAGTCTGTGCAGAAGGTGGGGGGCAGTGGGAGCGGTGGGGGCTCGGACCCAGTACAGCCCTGGAGGGGTCATCCTCTCTGCATGCTGCTGCCTGGACTTGTTGGGGCGGCTGGTGTCAGGACCCCATTCCTCCGCCATGCCCAACTTACTCCTGCTGAAGTTCTCTCAGCCTTAGCCTTGGCTGGCCTGGCTGCTGAGGGGGTCCCTCTGCCCACCCCCATCAGGGCACCAGCACCAAGTACAGCCCGCAGCGGGTGGGCCTCTCACACACCGTGGAACACGAGGACGTCATCCAGATTGTGAAAAAGTAGCTGCACCTGCCAGGCCCCGCCCCCGGGCCTGCCAGACACAGCAAAGCCCATCACGGGGTGGGCTCCCTTGGGTCTCCGCGCTGTCCGGGAGCTGCTCAAGTAGGCAGGTGGGGCAGAGGGGGCAGGGTTGGGGCTCCGAGTTTCCCAGGAGACCAGTCCTCCTGGCATTCCGAGTTGGCAGTCGGGGCTGTACCCTCAGGCCAACCTGCTGCCAGCCAGGGCTTAGAACCAATGGCAGACTCAGCACAAGGCGGGGGCATGGGCCTGCCTGGGTCACTGGGGGTGGTGGCTACTGTTTGGGGCCCTGGCCCTGTGAAGAGCCCACTCAAGACGGGCCCCCCACCCCAACCCTGCACGACCCGAGTGGGATCCTCAAGTGCCTCCCTCTGCTCCTGGCAGGGCAGCCCTGCCCAGCACATAACCCCAGGGGCCCCGCCCAGCCAAGTGGCCGCTGCCCAAGTCTGGGTCCCGTGTTTTTCTCTCAGCACCCCAACCCCTCAGCTGTCCTTCCTGAAATAAAAGATGGAAAGCGGTTCCTGTTCATACTGAGGGCGACTCATGAGTATGTCAGATTGGGGTGCACCTGGCCATCGTGGAGGGCATGTGGCCGGGCCTCCTATGGACCACGGTAGCCGAGGTGGTGGCCTCCTCCAGTGGCCCACCAGATCATGATGCTGGTGAACCCCCCCTGTAGGAGCAAGATGGGGTCGGGGGAGGGACTGCGGGTGCGTACACGGGCTCTGCCTCTCCTTGGTGACCCCGCAGCCTGGGCTGAGGCCTCTGCAAGGCAGGGACTTCCTGGGGGAGGAGAGCCTTGGGGCGAGGCTGGATCGGGTTCTGTGGGGTTGCCAGGAGGCACAGGGAGCTCCCTGGGCCAGCTCTGCAGGCTGTTCCCATCTCAGCTGTCAGTCGTGCGCTCCTGGCCAGAGACAAAACGAAAATAATAGACCTCATGAAATATGCATGGCACCCCAGGCGGCCAGCGTGGAGGGGCTGGGCCTTCCTCATTGCAGCCGTGAGCCACTCAGCTCCGCGGGGCAGCCACGGAGCCCCCTGTGGGTGACATGCAGCCAGGGAGCAGGCCGTGGGTCTCAGGTAAGGGCCTTGGGGGTCTGGGTCTACACTCCTGAGCTAGGAGCAGGTTCGGGGGTAGGGCAACAACGGGGTTGGGGATGGTTTTCCCCTAGGCATACTTGCTCTGGGAAGTAGTGGGGTGCCTTGCAGTCCCCCTTTTGAGCTGGGTGGGGTGGGTGCTGTAGCAGGATGCTCTACCTGGCCAAGAAGTCTTGGGAGACACTTTCCGCCTGGGGCAGGGCACTGTGGTCCCCACGCCCAGGGAGAGGCAGCAGAGACCTCTGAGCTCAAGGCCAAAGGTCACGAGGCCCAAGGGTTGTTTCCTGGACTAGCTCTGTGTGTCCGCGCCTGTGGTGGGGGGAGGGCACAGCTGCATTACTGGGCAGGTCCTGGCATCCTGGGAGGTGGCCTCCTACGTCCTCAGTCCTCAGGCCTGTTCCTGGCAGTGTGACGTTGCCATGGCCTCCCCCCGCCGGGTGCTGCAGCCTGTGTGTGCCCCCAACACCCCTTTCTCTCCAGCTCCTATCTCCACAGCCCCTCCAAAGAAAACCCACACCCCTGTCACTGAGAGCCTGGCTTCTGCAGCTCCCCGTGCAGCTCTTGCCAAAACCGCTCCACTCCCCCTGGAGCCCTCACCATGTGGTCCCGGCTCAAAAGCTGGATCCCAAAGGCCCCATCTGTCAGCATCCCCTTGTCTCCTCCCCCAGTGAGGAAGCCCTCCCGCTCCTGGAGGACTCTACCCCTCCTTCCATCTCGCTCCGTTGGATCTGTCCCTGGACACTGATCTGCAAACACAACACTTGCTCAGACTCCATCCAGGCCTCCTAGATGGGGTGGGCAGGGGCTCAAGCACTGGGGTCAGCTGCTGTATTCCCAGGCACGGGAGCAGGGAGCTGGAACAGAAGCAGAGCAGCGGAAACCCAAACTCACACTCTGGCACAGGACGCCAGCATCCCAGGCAGGACGTAACTGCTGAGCCGCAATGCCAGGCCCCTCGGAGCACTGGGCTGTGTGTGTCCGCTGCCCTCTCCCACCGCGTCCCCCGTGGCATGTGGCATGTTCCCCCAGCAGCCCTCAGCTCAGAAAGCAGCAGTCTACTCTCTGGCTGCCTGGTCCCCTCACCCCACTCCCAGCTGTGTCTCGTCTCGAACACGTTCACTGCTGTGCTTGCTCCCTGCTGCCTCTGGCTGCCCTGTCCCCAACTCCTCCCAACACGCAATGGCTCCTGAGCTGGGCATTCAATGTGGTGCCCACAGCCCCACCTTACAGTGCTTGGGTTCCACAACGGGCTCCACTTCCACTCCAGCATCCTGCCATGGGCACCCTGGGAGGCAGCGCCAGCCATTGCGGTCACTTGGGGGAGTGAACCAGCGCACGGAAGATCTTCCTCTCTGTCTCTCCTCTGTATATCTGCCTTTCAAACAAACATAAGAGAAATGTTTAAACACAGTTTTTTCAAGCTGTGTGGCCCCGCTGAGTCAGTGTCCTCCATGGGCCAGCTCTTGGGAGGCTGTGGCAGGAGCTGGTGATCTCTGAACACAGGGCTTGCAGAAACCCCATCCTGCCCCTCTCCGCCCTGGCTCTGTGACATGACAGCGCCAGGCTCTATGAGCATGGGGTAGATCTTCACTTTTTTTGTTTTTGTGTTTAAAGATTTTTTTTTTTTTTTTTACTTTTATTGCAAAGTCAGATACACAGAGAGGAGGAGAGACAGAGAGGAAGATCTTCCCTCCGTTGATTCACTCCCCAAGTGACCGCAACAGCTGAAGCTGAGCCAATCTGCAGCCAGGAGCCTCTTCCTGGTCTCCCACACGGGTGCAGGGTCCCAAGGCTTCGTTCTGTCCTTGACTACTTTCCCAGGCCACAAGCAGGGAGCTGGATGAGAAGTGGGGCTGCTGGGGTTAGAACCATTGCCCATATGGGATCCCAGTGCATTCTAGGTGAGGACTTTAGCCACTAGGCCTCTGCGCTGAGCCCTGTTTTTGCTTTTTTAATGGTTGATTTATTGTTTTTGGAAAGGTGAAGAGACAGAGATCTTTCATCCACTGGTTCGCTCCCAGATGGCTACAACAACTGGAGCTGAGCTGATCCAAATCCAGGAGCCAGGAGCTTCCTCTGGTCTCCCATGTGGGTGCAGGGGCCTAAGGACCTGAGCCATCCTCCACTGCTTTCCCAGCTCACAAGCAGGGAGCTGGATGGGCAATGGAGCAGCTGGGACTTGAACCAGCGCCCAAATGGGGCACTGATACCACAGGTGGATTATTATCTTGCCGTGCCACCACACCAGGCCCCTGGAAGGGACCTGTGCGTGATTTCCTGATGCAAATTTGGTAACAGCACTCCAAGAGTTGGACATGCTGCTATGTGGCTCTGCGCTGTTTTAGGGTTGGAAACCCAAGACCTGTCCCCTCGTGCCCGTTGGCCTCGTGGGGCATGCCTCACATTTGCCCCTCGGCAGCCCGCTGAGCCACGGGGCTTTCCTTCGCGGCTCTGGGCCCCTGGCAGGGGCACTGGCACCTGCTCTTCTGTTTCCATCTTCCACGCAATCTGCTCCCTCTTATCCTTGAGGCTTGTGCTCTGGGGCACCACCTCCCAGACCTGCAGTGCGGCGCCCAGCTGCCTGGGGTCCCAGCCCTGCCTGCCCAGCCCTGTGACCTCTGGCCAGCACATCATCCATGACTCACCAGTCCTCGAAGAGTGAATGGATGAATATTTTTTTCCCTAACAAACACTCCCTCTGGGTTAGCTGCAGAAGCTGGGAAAACCTACAGGGCAGGGCGTCTGGAGCCCCAGATAAAGAGACAGACACACACATGTGTGCATGCACACACATGCAAAGATGTGCGTACCACACACGTGTGTGCTTCCATGCACACGTACACAGATGCACACAGAGCAGACAGGACAGCCGTCTGCAGTCATAGCATCACCCATTGCCCAAGTCAAACTCTGTGTATTCCCTTTGATGTCCATGAGCCCTGGCAGGGGGAGGTGCTGGCGGCACCGCCACTTAGAACTGGGGAGCCCCAGGATAGGAATGAGACCCGACCCTGAGCGCCAGCTCTGTGAACCTTGGTTCCCCCAAGAGCACGAGTGCCCTCGCGTGGCCGCGTATGCCTCTGCACCCAGCCCCAGCAAGCCCGGGGGGTGACAACCTCTCAACCTCTCTCCTGAACCAACTCCAGACAGTGGGGGGGGCCCCTGCTGGGGACATGCAGGAGTGTGGCTTTGGGGAGGTGGTCCTGAGCCTGAGGGCCACCTCACCCTTCTCTACAGGTGCCTCATCTCTGTGCCCCGGTTTTGTCGGTTGCACGGAGCTCTGGCTGGCAGGGCTGTGAGAGAGGGGGCAGAGTTATACTCTACAGTTTGGGACCCCAACTTTCTTCCCAGGAGATTCCAGTTCCCTCCTGTTTTCACCTTTCCCCTTGATATGTTTTTTGTTTGTTCAGGAATGTGGGAAGGTTTATAGCACGATAACCGTTCTCTTTTATTTTTTTTTTTTTGGTACTTTTTTCAGTATTTCCTTTTTTTCTTTAAAATGTTATTTGTAATGTTGTTTACATAGACGAGAAGGATGCATGCCCATGTAAGCCGCTGATTAGGTGGGGAGGGTTGAAGTGTGGAAGAAAGAGGTTGGGACAAATGTTTCCGATTTTTTTTTTTTTTATTCTGTGTCTGCCATGGGGGAAGAAAGGGGATATTCCTTGCTGCCAAACTCCGTCAGCACCCAGGGATGGGGGACAGTCATTTGATGACACCTTAGAGACCCTGATATGGGGAAGCGTGTTCCCAGTGTGTTGTTTGGGTGGTTTTGATAGTTCTGAGACCTTGTTGGTTTCCTTCCTTCAAGGTTGAGAAAAACCTTTCCAAGGTCACTTGGTTGACAATACCCACCTCAGTGCACCCACAGACCTAGAACACTTGCTGCCAAAGCTTGGCTGGGAGAGCCGTGCAACCTGAGGCACTCAGCATCCCCTGGTAGCCTAGCTGAGCTGGCTGTCATGTCCCCTGTGTGCATCTGGGCATGCTGTCCACTGCACAGGCGCCAGCAACGGAGGAGGCCTAGTCCCAACACCTGCACTCCAAGGTTGGACAACATACTCTGTGAGTTTGAGTCCAGCAGTATAGCTGGGGAGGCCCACAGTCAGGTGACCCCAGACCTGACTCTTGTGTGCACCAGCTAGTGTGGGGTCTTGTTCTGTCCATCACCTGTGTCAGCCTACACAGTGAATGTAGCTGCTTGGTCAGTTCCAGCCCCAGCCCCATCTCCAAAGCAACCAATGGGTGCTAGCCCAACCTAGCCTGCCACAAACCCAACCCTCACACACAGTGGCAACCACTGCTTAGTCAGAACGATCCCCAGTAAGCCCCACCAGGCCTACCCCCAGTCCCAGTTTTCGTGTGTGCTGGCACGTGCTGCAATCTCGTCTGGTCTGTCCCATACTCCACCCAGCTCTCACATACACCTCTGGGTG